ATACGGCCCCAAATCGATATCATTCCACAACATATCATGATACCTCACCTTCTTCATTTCCTCATACACTGCATACTGCGTAACCAATAAAGCCCTCTCCCAGAACTTGGCAGTGATCTCATCCACAGTCTCAGTAGTCTGGCGGAGACCCTGAAACTCTCGCGCCAACTGTTGCACCTCAATCACTGGTGCAAACTTAGCTTGGAACCTGATCGATAAAAAATCCCAAGACATGGCATCCATTACTTCATCACCAACCTCACGTCCTCCCTTCTCCCAGTAATGTCGTGCTCGTCCTTTAATAGGTAGGAAGTATATCTGACCTCCGCCTCCTCGGGGCAGAAACTCGTCCTGAACGCGTTAGCCATATCCGCTAACCACCCCTACTGGAAATGAGGCACCTCACCCCATAAAATGCAGCTCCGCACGCACAGAACTCACAGAAAGAAAGAGTGTGAGCTACAACGATGGCCATAAGCTGGGCACGGATCGCGCCCAAGCGCTCATCCAAGATCTCCAAAATCCCTCCTTGACCGAACCAAAGATCATAGGAGTGTGCTCCAAAACACCGCGGGTAATCTCCGACGAGATGAACTCCCGCATCTGCTCAGTACCAGCACCTGAGGCGAAACCAGAACTAGACCATCCTTCCTGGGTGCTCATCACAAACTGAAATACAACCTGCAAATGTTCTGAACATACCCAAGAATCCTCTTCCCTTAAGCTTCTTATATTCTCCAAGACTCTCCCTGATTCGAGTATGGATCCTATGCATTCAATAGTACGGGCCCAATACTACCTTCCACACCTACCCATACTTTCCTCAAGAATCATCCCGAATCTTCTAAGTTACCTTCTCAATCTGATGCACCCAAAAACTCACTAAATAACGCAACAAGACCCACTGAAGCAATCCCTAGGCTTTCCTAGGTTCCCGGCCTCACCCTACCACCATCTGCTGAAGAACTCCCCATAATGCCAGTCACACACCTCATGAATACATTCATATTCACTTAGTAGCTAACTCCCATTACCTAAGACTTCCACAAAGCACAAAGCAAGTAGTATTCAAGCAGTAACACTCCAATCCATAGAACGATCATAAAACATTCAGCCCACACCATAACTCATACTAGAGATTTCCACCCTTACTTTCGGTTGCCTTATGCATGCAAATTATATACAGAACAAAATCAAATAGACTGTTGAATAAAAGACTCTACCCTAGAACCACAACCAAACAAGAAACAGGAAATAAGGCCAAATCAATTATTCTAGGGCTATAAGATCCTAACTGTATACAATTTTTAAAACATACACTTAGCATTTACTGATTCCAATAGATATCCATATTCCAGCAAAGCATCCAGTACACCCAAGGCTACAAGGCATCACATATCAAGCCAATCTATCAATGACTAATTAGCACCATCATACGAGTCTACCAGCTCACACAATAGACATACAAAGGCATCTCTCCTAGCATTCTATTATGCAAAAACTAAGCATATTCTTAGTCCTACCTAGCATGTGATTCACAGATTCAGAAATCAAATCATATCAGATAACATGTACGGGTATTTTGGGAGAAACTTACTTGAGTTTGGCTGATTGCATGCACCACACCCTTTTCTTATCTTAGGAATTTCCTTTCTAAAAAAATATACTTTTCTTTTGAAAACTTCACCAAACCCTCAGTTTGAGTACAGACACACCCGAGAGTATGTCTGAATCCCTCAAACCAAGGCTCTGATACCAACTTGTAACGTCCCAAAAATCATGGCATAAAATTTTTTGCTTTTAGATTAATAAGTCGTTAGTAAAGCTTATTTCCATAAAACCAGGATAACTAATATTTAGCAACACATTATCAAATCAGAGTAATTCACACAATGCGAAAACATGTGATGTGTGCTCTGCAATCATTTCGAGCTCTCCCATTAGAAAACCGGAGTACCTGAAATATAAATTAAAAACCGTAAGCACAAAGCTTAGTGAGTTCCCTAAAATACCATACAACATACAATCACAGATTATCATACAACATACATATAGTTTCCATGGCCTCCCCCCATGGTCTTTATCTGGAATGCCATGGGCTCCCCCTATGGTCTTTACCTAGGATGTCATGGGCTCCCCCATGGTCTAATTGTTGGATAAGGTGTCTAAGTCCATAACTTTATTTGGTATATACTTGACCCGACCCTGCATGGTCCATTTGGGTTGCACTTCACCCGAACTATTTGTATGGTTAAGCCTTTGAGAATTGTATGTTTATGATTTGCTAATATATTTTAAGTTATAATATATTAATATGAAATCATATTATTTAATTAGTATTGATCATAAATTAATATAGAATTAATTTGGTGATAAAAAAGGTGACTAATTAAATATGGGATCTTGTATTTATATAAGTGTGAGCTAATAATCATTTGGAATGGGCTTGGCATGCATGGGAGTCCATGGATAGTCCATGGAGCTTTTAACCCATGGATCCTTAGAAAGGAAGAGTCATGGGTATTAGGGTTTACATGGATGTAACCCTAATCCTCCACACTATATAAAGGAGCTTGTGATGCTTGAAATGGCACTAGTTGTGTGTGTGAAAGAGGGTGGCCGATTTCTAGAAGCAAACATACACTCTCATAGTTTTTCCAAGTTTGTGGTGATTTGTGATTTCCATTTGAGGCATCCACATTATTGGTGCTTGGCTCTCAAACTCCAAGGAATCAACTCACTAATCAAAGGTATGTAATTCATCTAGCTTTTATGTTTAAAGTTCCCTATGCCATGCTAGATAGGTTATTAACCTTGGAAAAACAAATTTGCATGTATTCATAGTAAAAAATAGATCCAAGGTTTCTAGGGTTGCATGTACACCATAGGAGTGTTAGGATGCTCAAAACCCAACAGTGGTATCAGTGCCTAGGATTGTTTTCTTGAATACTTGATGCAAACTGTGAAAAAATCGAAAAATTGAGCTGTCTGGACAGTAGATTCGCCGAGTCCGTGGGGGGACTCGACGAGTCCAAGCACAAATTCATCCTACTCGTCGAGTAGGTTCTTGCACTCGACGAGTAGGAGGCTCTGACTGCAATTTTTCGACTTTTGCTGCTGGAAATGGACTAGAAACATTACCCTAAACTGTTTTGATGTTTCAAAACCTGTTTTAGATAGTGTAATGTTTATGTTAATCCATTTACGATGACTAATATCAAAATTCCACGTTTTAAATGTGTTCATATGATTCTTGAAATTTTGATATGATATTCATGTTCTTATGAGTTATTGTTAGATCATAGGAATTACTTGCTAAATTGTTTAATGATTAATTCTCGATCAATTATGTGTTTTAATAGAATCCATAATTTGTCCTCAAGTTATGGATTTCGAAAGGTCACTTTCTTTAATGTACATTTAAAACACATAAGTTACATAAAATGAAGAGCCTTCACTTTTATGAACCATTAACTCATAAGTTATGAAATGAAGAGTTTTGAATAATTTCAAAACTTGCCCTCAAGTTTTGGAATTTGTAAAGTCACATACACTTTAATTCCAACCCTTAGGATTTTAAAAGTTAAAATTCTACCCTTATACTATTATAAGATTAATGGTTAATATATATATATATATATATATATATATATATATATATATATGTATAAGATCAAGTAATTTTACTGTTAGAATGCCTCATTCACGAAGCCGATCTATAAGGGGGGTATAAGGTTGTTGCCTATAAAATGGCAGCTTAATGGGTGTCCACTCTCACCCACCGCTTCCTTGACTGGTCGAGGGTCGTTAGCCGAACGGGTAAGACAATGACTTTAATTCTCATTAAAAGTATAATCAATATTATAAAGTAACTAAATGTTTTATAAATTCCCAATCTTAGTTACTTTAGGAAAATGTGAAAATGGTGCTAACCCATGAAATTCACACTTTGTACCTTACCAAGTCGTTGGTGGAGCGTGTTGTTAACCGGCACACTAACTTGGACTAGTAAAGATAACAAAGGGTGACTTAATGTTTATCATAGATAGCATGTGTGGTTAACCGGCACATCGATTAGGAGATAATATTAAGGGTACCAAGTGAATTTTCATGGTTATTCACACCTTGTTTTGTGATCCTCGGCATCCCAGTCACAAAACCTGAAGGGCACTATAGAGATTGAAACATGCCATTGAAAAGTTCAATGAATCTCAAAAGAATCTAGTAATTTCAAAACCAACTAAAACCTAATAATTTATTTCATTTTCATGGTGGAAATTGGTCAATCGTCATTCACCAACCTTCAAATATGTTATAGCTTAGGTTACGACATCCCTCTTCTAAGTTATAATATATTGTGTTGGGTCCTAGCCTTAATATTACATTTGGGTGTCTTATTAAGGACTCTATATATCTAATCTAAACTTGTCTTTCTTCTTTTCAGATGTCATCCAACAAGGCTTCGGGTTCTAACCCTACCGGCTCCTTCTCTCTCATGAACCTTTGTGGGTGAGTCATATTCGATGGTTCTAACTTTATGGATTGGATCCGGAACATCAGGATGGTCACTCGTTACGAGGACAAGGAATATGTCCTCGACAAGGAGCTTAAGGAACTCGATGAGACTACTGCTACTCCTGAGGAGATCGCTGAATACAGGACACATGAGAGAGATGCTACCAAAGTGGCATGTATCATGATGGCCACGATGACAGCCGAGCTCCAAAAATCCTATGAGGACTATTACCCTTTTGAGATGCACCAGGACTTGATGGAAAGGTACCATCAGAGTGCTCGTCAAGAGCGGTATGAAATAATCTCCTCCATGATAACAACCCGGATGAAGGATGGTGAACCCATCAGGGGCCACATGCAGAAAATGCAAAGGTATGTGGACCGTTTGCATAAAATTGAATGTGAACTTCCCTGAGGAGTTGGCAATTGACATCATTTTGCACTCCCTACCCTCGTGTTATGATCATTTCCGCATTACATACCACATGAACAAGGAGGAAGTTACACTCAGCAAGCTTCAAGGACTTCTGAAGACCGCCGAAAGTGGTCTTAAAGGTAAGTCGGTTGTTACTCCTACTACTCCTACAACAACCCCTGTTTTGGCTATCGGGCAAGGCAAAGGGAAGAAGAGGAAGACCCATTCGAAGGGTACCAAGGGAAAGTCTCTTGATGGCTCCTCATCAAGTGGAACCAAAGGTGGTTCTGCTACTCCTTCTGCCATCCCTAAGGATGTTGATTGCTTCTATTGCCAGAATAAGGGGCACTGGAAGCAAAATTGCCCAAAGTACTTGCAGGATGTCAAGGATGGGAAAGTAAAACCATCCCATGCAGGTATTTACACTATATTGTCTAATAACTCACCATATTCTAACTCTTGGTTCCTTGATACAGGGTGTGGTATTCACATATGATGTGATTTGTAGGGCCTAAGAAGAAGTGAGGATGTGGAGCACGGGAAGATAAATTTAATCATGGCGAATAGGAAGGCTTCACCTGTTACCAAGATTGGAGTTTATACTTTGTTGCTAAATAGTGGGTTAAAGTTAGATTTGAACAAATGTGTTTACTCGACCAAAATGGCGAGGAATATTATTTCTTTTCATGGTTTGTACAAATATAAGGGTTTACCTTTTCGTTTGATAATGAATGTGGTGGTATTATTGCTTTCTTTAATAATGTTCTTTATTTTAAAGCATTACCTTGTGATGGTGTGTATGAAACTGTGTCGGTTGTAGATTACCTAGGAAATAATGTGTTGTGTATTGATTCCTTTACTAGCTTGGATAAAGCATCATTGTGGCATTGTCGTCTTGGACATGTAAGCAAGAAACACATAGGCCAACTCCAAAAGGATGGAGTCTTGGAGTCATTTGACCTAAAGTCAGATGATAGTTGTGAATCTTGTTTGCTTGGGAAAATGACAAAATCACCCTTCACTGGTACTTGTGAAAGGGGGTGAGGGTTTGTTGGACCTTATACATACCGATGTATGTGGACCCTTCAAAACCGCCACAAGGGATGCTAATCGCTATTTTGTGACTTTTACTGAAGATTATAGTAGATATGGTTATGTCTACTTAATCAAGCATAAGTCAGAGACTTTTGAAAGGTTGAAAGAGTTTAAACAGGAAGTAGAAAATCAATTGGACAGGAACATTAAGATGCTTCGATCCGATCGAGGTGGTGAGTATGTTAACACAGAGTTCCTCGACTATCTTAAGGAGTGTGGGATTGTCTCACAATTGACACCTCCCAGGACACCACAGTTGAATGGTGTGGCTGAGAGGCGTAATTGAACCTTGTTAGACATGGTTCGCTCCATGATGAGTCGAGCTTTGCTACCAATCTCTTTTTGGGGGTATGCCTTATAGACTGCCGCCCATATCCTAAATCTAGTCCCTACAAAGAAGGTTGTCAAAACACCTCATGAGATGTGGACTGGGAAAGTTCCCAACTTGGACCACATCAAGATTTGGGGTTGTGAGGCTTTTGTGAAGCGCGAGACTCACGATAAGCTTGAACCTCGAAGTAAGAGGTGTATTTTCATTGGCTACCCACAGAAATCCTTTGGTTACCTCTTCTACAGACCCAGTGAGAATGTGGTCTTTGTGGAAAGGAGAGTGGTCTTTCGTGAGAGAGAGTTCATGAGCCAAGGAAACTGTGGGAGGCAAATTGACCTTGAAGAACTTCAAGAGTCAAGTGGTGAAGGAACCTCAAATCCTAGCAATCAACCTGAGGAGGAAACTCCTGTTGATCCTACTGACGAGTCTGTACCTCTGAGGCGTTCCACGAGAGTTACGAATGCACCAGAGCATTACTATGGTTTCCATATTACTGCAGAAGGTGATACACTTATCAGTGATAATACACTGGTAAATCTGGATGAACCTAACAGCTACACGGAAGCCATGGCAAGCCCTGAGGCTGGTAAATGGAAAGAGGCTATGGACAGCGAGATACAGTCCATTTCTGACAATCAAGTTTGGAACTTGGTTGACAATGTACCAGGTCGTAAGACAATCGAGTGCAAATGGATCTTCAAGAAGAAGACCGACATGGATGGTAATGTACACACTTATAAGGCGCGACTGGTTGCAAACAGCTTTTCTCAAACTCCGGGAGTTGATTATGATGAGACCTTTTCACCGGTAGCAAAGATTAAGTCTATTAGGGTTATGTTAGCCATTGATGCATTTCATGACTATGAAATATGGCAAATGGATGTCAAAACCACTTTCCTTAATGGGAAGTTCGCTGAGGATGTTTACATGAGTCAGCCAGAGGGTTTTGTCAGTACGGAGTACCCGAATAGAGTGTGTAAGCTTGAGAAATCCATCTATGGATTGAAACAAGAACCTCGCAGATGGAATCTTTGTTTCGATGAGAAAGTCAAAGAGTTTGGATTTTCGAGAAGTGAAGATGAGTCCAGTGTATATGTCAGAGCTAGTGGGAGTATAGTTAGCTTCTTGGTGTTGTATGTGGATGACATTCTGCTCATAGGAAATGACATTCCAACTTTGCAGGAGGTGAAGTCCTGGCTTGGGAAGTGTTTTGCTATGAAGGACCTTGGAGTGGCTGCCTATATCCTAGGGATAAGGATATTAAGTGATAGGAGTAAAAGACTAATTGGACTTAGTCAGAGTACCTACTTGGATAAGGTGTTGAAAAGGTTCAACATGCAGAATTCCAAGAAAGGAGAATTTCCGATCCAAAGCAATGTCAAACTGAGCAAGGCTCAGAGTCCGAGTACAAAGGCTGAGATAGCTGAGATGAGTCGACTAACATATGATTCCGCTGTTGGCTCGATCATGTATTCTATGACTTGTACCCGTCCTGATGTAGCCTTCGCTTTGAGCATGGTCAGCAGATATCAGGGGAACCCTGGCAAGGCTCACTGGACTGCGGTAAAGAATATTCTCAAGTATCTGCGGAGGACTAAGGATTGGATCCTTACCCTTGGTGGGAGTGATGACTTGAGAGTAGTAGGGTATAGTGATGCTAGCTTTAAGACTCATAGGGATAACTTCCACTCTTAGTCGGGCTGGGCTTTACTCTAAATGGAGGGGCTATCACTTGGATGAGTTCCAAGCAGGAGACGGTAGCTGATTCGACTTATGAATCAGAGTACATAGCAGCGAGTGAAGCGGCAAAGGAGGCAATATGGCTGAAGAACTTCATCGGAGACCTTGGAGTTGTACCGAGAGATCATGGCAGATCTAGACACATTGACAGAAAATATCACTTCATAAGACATAAGATAGAAGAAGGAGTCCTCGTGGCAAAGAGGGTATCATCAGAAGAAAATCCTACAGATCCCCTCACGAAGGGACTGACGAGGGTTAGGCATTTACAGCATGTGAGATGCATCGGGCTAAAGGATGATATTAGTTTTACAGATTAGATAGCTATTTATGAAACTTGTAAAATGTAATCGAGATTTGATGATGAATAAAAGATGTGTTTATTTATGAGTAAGGTGTTACTCTCTCTTGTCAATTATTTACTATTGTTTCAGCTTTGCATGTTTTTACTTCCAGAATAATTTACTTTATTCAAACTTCCACAGTCGGTCATACGTCGGAAGTAGGTATGAATTAAGACTGTCATGAATTGGTCTTATAGATTACTAAAGGTGTTTAGCCATAGCAATGATTGCTACAATATTTATGAGTGATCAGAAGTTCTGAGTATTGGAATAAACCCATGCTCACTTGCATCACTTCATGGAATTTATCTCGAGCGATCGTGAGAAAGTAATATCATATAAGTCTTCAAACCCAGAGATATTAGTTGTTGCCTATGAGTTGGTTATGCATTGATTGCACGAAAACGCATCAGTAACTTGATGTTATAAAACGTGCCTTTCTGTATAATTCAACAAGTAGTAAAAACAAGTATATGAGTCGAAGTTTATATGTTCCTTATAGTCCATAGAGGATTAGAAGCGATATATGGGCCCCTCGATGATTTTGTTTTGACCTATGTATCGGGCCCGGTCAGAACCTAATTGATGTGTTCAATTCAGTTCTATGTCAAACAAATCGGAAATCGGGAAACAAACTGCTGGACAATAAGTACGACGTTGTTCCATGTATTTGTTCGGCTGATATCTTGAGAACAGAGGATTATATGATCACTTATATAAAATGGCGCTTCATAGTTCAACAGAGTTTTAAGTGCTACGATTGTCGGTTGGTTCCTGAAGTAATATAGGCAAATAGAGTTATTAGACTTATCCAAGTGGGAGACTGTTGGATAAGGTGTCTAAGTCCATAACTTTATTTGGTATATACTTGACCCGACCCGGCATGGTACATTTGGGTTGCACTTCACCCGAACTATTTGTATGGTTAAACCTTTGAGAATTGTATGTTTATGATTTGTTAATATATTATAAGTTATAATATATTAATATGAAATCATATTATTTAATTAGTATTGATCATAAATTAATTTAGAATTAATTTGGTGATCAAAAAGGCGACTAATTAAATATGGGATCTTGTATTTATATAAGTGTGGGGTAATACTCATTTGGAATGGGCTTGGCATGCATGGGAGTCCATGGATAGTCCATGGAGATTTTAACCCATGGATCCTTGGAGAGGAAGAGTCATGGGTATTAGGGTTTACATGGATGTAACCCTAATCCTCCACACTATATAAAGGAGATTGTGATACTTGAAATGGCACTAGTTGTGTGTGTGAAAGAAGGTGGCCGATTTCTAGAAGCAAACATACACTCTCATAGTTTTTTCAAGTTTGTGGTGATTTGTGATTTCCATTTGAGGCATCCTGATTATTGGTGCTTGGCTCTCAAACTCCAAGGAATCAACTCACTAATCAAAGGTATGTAATTCATCTAGCTTTTATGTTTAAAGTTCCCCATGCGATTATAGATAGGTTATGAACCTTGGAAAAACAAATTTACATGTATTCATAGTAAAACATAGATCCAAGGTTTCTAGGGTTGCATGTACATCATAGGAGTGTTAGGATGCTCAAAACCCAACACTAATATCCAAGTGCCACGAGCTACCCCCAAGGTCTTCCACGCAAGTATCACAGAGGCAGCTAGCATACCACATAACACGTAATGGGCCGGCATTAGTACCTTCTACCCATAGATATAGTGAGAAGACTCACCTTATAGTCTAAAAGAATAGTTGCACCAATCACTGCTCTAAAAGCTATATCTACCAGCCACATATACAATTAACAGGAACCCAAAAGCTCAACTATAAATCAAATTACCCAAAATGCCCTTAGGTCAAACTTGGTCAACCCTGGTCAAAGTCAAAGTCAACAGTCGAGGTCCAAAAGTCAATATATCTTCCCAGCAGAGTACACCCTGCGTACAAAGAGAGTACGCCCATCGTACTTTGATGTTGACTAAAAGCGGGGCGCTGACCGCATACGCGCAACGTACTACCAGGTAACCCCAGCGTACGCAGCCCAGTCCCAAAACTCCATTAAGAGTTTATCCTATTAATTCATACATCCAAAACTCAAATCCAAGTCAAAAATGATGTCCTAACTGATAAAGTTCCAACTTTATTACTTTGCATGGCTATAAAGTGCTTAATGTCCAAAACCCGAAGTTCTTAACCGAATAAGACATCACAACTCTTGCATGGAAGGAACAGAAGGGCCAAGATCACATTTTTATGGTTCATGATAGCTTTATAATGGATAAAGTTTCCAACTTTATCCATTAGAATGGTCCCAAAAAACAAGATCTAGTATTTAAGTCTCAAAGGGACCCAAAAGTTCATCTTTGTCAACTTTATGCATAACAAGGTCACAAACTTTCAATATATAAACTTTATGCACTAAAACGACCAAAACTCATAACCTGAAAACTAGCTAGATATAAGAAATGCATCATCAAGATTCAAACTTTATACCTCTAGAAGATAGATCAAGGTGAACAAAGTCCAGATCTATAAGCTCCACTGCAACCAACACTTCTCCAAGAAGTTCCTTCTTCTCCAAGGTGCACCATGCATACTCAATAGCACTCAAAAACACCTTATTTTAGCTCACAAAGCTCAACTAGGGTTAGGGTTTCATGGAAGGGGTGTTGGAGGGGTGGAGGCTGAGAATGGAGTGGGTTTGGGGTAGTTAAGGAGCTTAAATAGGGCTCAAACCATGAAAATACGGTTTGGGTACTGTTCGCCTACCCCCATCATACTCAAATTAAAGGCAGCATACTAGGGATGTCCTAGTACGCCCAGCGTACACTTTGAGCATGCATAGCGTACTCAGCTTCACCCAAAATCGACCAAACTTTAAA